GAGAGTATATCCTAGAGTGTGAAGCAACGTTTTTAAAATATCTTAAACCTTAAAGCTTAGAAATATTAATAGAAATGAAGCATCAATAATAAACGGTCAAGCATAGGTCAATCCTAGCAGTAATTCACCTACGCGATAATATTTACTCATTATTGTTCTCACATAGAAATAAAGTCACTAATAATGATATATGATGATAAAGCAGTATAACAAATCTTCTATTCCTAAATAAAAATTGATAGCATTGCTACAAATAACTTAGGCTAACATTTTCATCAAGCCATCCTGGAGTAAAAAAGTATCGCCCGTATACTGATGCCCACTGGGGAAACTTCCTTCAATCTATCGAATGTGGAACTTTATATTGTACATTGGTTAGTAACACATCGGGATTGTCTCACTAGTAGGCCATGCTATAGCGAGATAGACAAGACAGACGGTAAATTTTGGTAAAAAGTTTACGGTATATTTTGTACTACTTCCGCGCGGTTTCACACGCTCTGCTCAGATCCTATTGGTCGTAGCGTGATGTTTTATAGCCTATACCCCTATAGCCATCCTCGATAAATGCGCTATCCAACCCAAAAAAAAAAAATTCCAATAAGACTTGTAGTTACGGAGATTAGCGCGTTTAAACAAAAAAACAAACTCTTCCGCTTTATAGTATAAGATTGAACCTTTTTTAATCGCCTTATGCCTTATGCGGACTATGCCAGTATTTTAGTTCAGTAGCGAGTATTGAATAACTCTCTCTCGCGTCGATTTTGGGACAGAAACGAGAGGGATATACTAAACACTCACTGCTCGACTAAAATACTAGCTTAGTGCGAACGAAGCATTTAGTCCTATATTTTAACCGACTTCAAACAAAGACATCATCACTCAGTTCGACCTGTATATATGTATATACGTAAGTTCATGCGCGAGAAGGTTCTCAGTTCGACCTGTATGTGTGTATGTATGTGTGTTTATGAGCGACAATCTCGGGATTAGCTGAACCGATTTCAATGTGGGTTTCAGATGTGTTTTTACACTTAGGAGAAGGTTTTAGTATATAAATTATCCGACTTTAATAAAGATGGGGTTTTAGACATATTTTTGAAATGTAATTTATAAGGCTGCCTGTCCATTGACGCGGTGAGGGGCAGCAGAGCGGAGAAACGAAGAAATATTAACCAAAAGAACTATTATTGTTACAAGTGTATATGGTTAATTTGGAGTTTATTAATGTTTTCATTCGTCTATTGTACTACTTACACAATTTAATCCCAGTTTCGCATTTCGAAACTAATTACAAAGTTTATCATGAGTTACTAGGAAGCCTATAAAACGTACTTTAAGCACTAATCTATGAAACTGGTCATCAGAAAAATCGGCCCACCTGCGTTTTCACCGTAAATCACGTTTTTCTTAAGCAAAACCAAACAAAATGTTTCAGAACTGAAATGGTTTTATTTAACTTGTCTAATTACACGAATTTAATCACAAATTACACATCAAAATGATTTCCTGACAATGTTTTTGGCAAAAAATGCAAAGTCATAACGTTTCGCGATTTTTTGATTAATTTTAAATACGCGCTAGTTTTTTTAAAATTAATGTTTTTGTATACAATTATTGCAATTCAATATTGCGTATTTCCTCCTCTTGCTCGAATGACGGCCTGCATTCGCCGTTTTAGTGACCTTATCAATATTTTGATGGTCTCTTGAGGGATTCGGTTCCATTCTTCCCTGATAGCGTTTTCCAGGTCTTCTAAAGTTGTGGGGACTGGATTACGGGCTCTAACCTTTTGTTTTAGAGTGTCCCATATGTGCTCTATAGGGTTTAGATCAGGGCTTCTTGCTGGCCACGACATAACCCGAATGCCGACCTCTTCAAGGTAGTCAGTCGTAATGCGCGCTACGTGTGGTCGTGCATTGTCATGCATTAATTCAAAAGTCTCTCCAATGTAGCCAGCATATGCCAACACATGGTCTTCTAGGATCTCTGTAATGTAACGTGCAGCAGTTAAAGCACCTCTTCGTATAAAAACTAAATCTGTGCGTCCAGTCAAAGATATCCCAGCCCAAAACATTACAGAGCCCCCACCGTAACTTACAGTTTCTCTTATACAACACTGGGTATAACGTTCACCTGGGCGTCGCATGACATTACGACGTCCATCAGAACCATATAAAGTCATTCGACTTTCATCACAAAACAGAACTGACTCCCATTGCCCTATAGTCCAGTTAACGTGATCACGCGCAAATTGAAGTCTGGCTTGACGATGAGCTGTAGTCAATTGTGGTCCTGTTGCTGGCTTGTGTGGTCTTAAATCCTGTTCACGAAGTCTCCTTCTTACTGTACTGTCACTTATAGCCACACCCCGTACTTCACGTAAGCGTCGCTGAAGATCAACGCCAGACAGATGTCGATTTCGAAGGGCTGATACCACTATAAAGCGATCATCTCTTTGATTTGTCACCCTATGTCTTCCAGATCCAGATCTTCTTCGATACTGCCCAGTCTCCAGAAACCTTTGGTAAACTCGTCGCACTGCAGAACGGCTCAAATTTAACCTCCTGGCCACGACACGTTGACTTAAGCCTTGTTGCAGCAAAGCCACAACTTGGGCCGCCTCAGCTTCAGTAGTGTCCATTATTTTTAAACAAAGTAATCAAAACTACACTCTCAGTAAATAAACTCAACGTTATTAACAAGAAATCCCTACAAAAGTCAGCTTGGAATTGAAAGAACGGATCGAATTTGTTCCGACGTAAAACCGTTAATTCAGCACTTAGCAGTGTTTCTGCAAAAAAATTGTTAAGTACCTTCAAGAGCAACAAGATTTATGACAAACAAGATGTCAAACATCATATCCGACCCTTAAAACAAAAAACAAACGTGTGAAACGGCTTATCTGTGAAACAATCGATAAATATTAAACAAAAAGTGGGTGGGTCGATTTTTTTGATGACCAGTGTATATTGATACCATCTCATAGCTTTCTATACAAAGCGGGCTCAACCGATTCAATCGCGTAGATTTCTGTTAGCAAGAGATAAAGTTTCGTAGAAAACAAAACGATGCTGTCTGAGTCTAGATATGTACAAATAACCGACACGTTTGTGTTACAATCAGCGATTTGTACGGTTTTTTTACATGTGTTTTGATATTGTATTATAAATTACTTTATACTTACTTTTAGTATTAATTATAGATGTAGTGTGTAACTAGGTAGGTACCTTCTTTACTTTATAAAAATTGAATAGATGATTTGTTATAAAAAAAATTATGACAATGTCACGGACCAAGATTTGTTGGAGAATTATTCAGTAACATTAAAAAAAAGAAAAAAAAGATATTGTATTATATTATTGCTGTTCTATATTGTGATAACATAACATCATCACGCCTTTTATCCCCGAAGGGGTAGGCAGAGGTGTACATTATGCCACCGTACAATGTAGCACCCACTTTTCACTATTTATGTTATGAGTCCCAGGTTGAGCCTATTGCCATATACCGGGGACAATTCCAGACTCCGTGCTACTACTGAGAATTTTTAAAAACCCAGTAATACTTTGCCCGACCCGTGAATCGAACCCGAGACTCCTTGCCCAGCAACCGCACTTGCGACCACTAGGTCAATGAGGCAGTATTAGAATAAGACTTACAATATAACTATCAGAGTAGGCATACACTCTCACATCCACCTTTACGATTCAGAATATAATACCAGTCTACTCGTATAGATAGAACTTTGTTATCTAAAATGATGTAAATTCTCCTTGAATTAGGACCTCTAGAGGGATAAATTGGGTGCGAAACACGTGTACGAAACCTTCCTAATCATTGTATAGACGCTAGTACATTCACCTTTAAACTACGATACATTTTCAGCTTTGTATTAAAACACATAAAGTTTAAAATTTAATAAAGGAATCTGTTAGACTAGAGTATGTTGACCCACTGTATTCTATGAATTTACATTCAAAATGGTCTAATTTTAATCAGTTAATGAACAATTCGTAATTTTCCGAAGCTCGTTCAAAATTTATATGGCTTGGTATGTATTAAACAATATGCTAAATTAATAACGAAAACCCAGGTTTCCTGTTTCATAATCCTATTAATTAACATTGAAGGAAGCCTTTGATAAACTATTATGGTAGTTACAACGTTGATTATGTTGTTCAAATATTGTTTTAAAGGGGTTTACCCCTAACTAACTAAAAATTATGAGTTACTCACGTAAATATACTGAGAAAATATCGATGGCGATGTCGCACTAGTAGGCTGCGCGACATCGCCGTGACCGCGCACGCTGCTCATGATGAAGAGTCCCTCTGTGACTCGAAACTAGTAGAGCTTTTCTCAGTATATTTACGTGAGTAACTCGTGATTTTTTAGTTAAGACAAGAAAAAGTATATTTGTAAGACATTATTTATTTATTGGAAAATGTTCACCATTTTCATTAATATGTATTATTAAACACTTTCAGTTCTTAAGAATGACTAAAAAAACTAACTGCTTCGCAAATCTTATACTTTTATATAAACCTGAAGAATCTTGTTTGTTTGTTTGTTTGTTGTACTGGCCTGAATTCAAAAATTCTTTTTGTGTTGGATAGTCCATTTACTAAGTAAGGCTATAGGCTATAAAACATCACGCTATGATCGATATAAGCTGAGCAGAGCGGGTGAAACCGAAAGCAACTAGTAGGAAATAAAGAATACATGAAGTGTAAGTATGAAACCTTAAACTTATTTATCGGTCTATGAAGAAACTCTACAGCTTTTTAACAAAAATATTTATTAATCAATACATTTTTACAACTTACAGTAACAATATTATACATTGCATTGAATTATCTAAGGTTTACGTACAAAATTTAATTTTTTTTATTTTATTTTATTTCATTATCACTAATTTACTTTTAATTCTTAACAAAGAACTCTTTGATTCTTGCCCAAAGAGGTTTAGGTGGTTTTTCAATGGTAATTTTATTTAGTCAATTTACAGGGAGGGTCTCATGAAGCCAGTTCCTCTTGCCTTCATTGAACTCTGCTGCAGTGTGGTCAGTACCTTCCAGGATCCATTTGGTAGTCAACAAACCTTCTACTCCCACAGGACCTAGAAACAGATGATATTTTTTATTTAATACATTATTATTATGACCAATGAGTCTAAACAATACATAGTTAAATTTTTATTCTATTTGGTAATATGTGGCATACTCGGAGCTTTCACCTTTTACTGCATCATAATTGCGTTTACAATAACTATACTATACACAATACATAAAGACGACGACTGTAAGTAGCATAAAACAATTGAATATGAAGAAAGAAAGATTCTTTATTTGCACACCGTCACAAAGTACAATAACACACACAAAAAAAATTAAACAGTGAAGACGGCACAAAAAGGCCAGAGCTCAGCTTAAAACTCAGCTTAATATCAATTATTTATTCACATACTACACTTCATTCAGCATGTATTCACTAAACCACTATCCTAAAATGAACTAAAATCCTTCGAATCTCGTTTTACCACACAATGTAACACCTAGCAACAGTGCACAAGAGAATGAGGTCATATAAAAGTTTTATCTCACCTCTAGCGTGTATCCTGGCAGTAGAGATACCAACTTCAGCGCCGAGGCCAAAACGGAAGCCGTCGGCAAAACGAGACGACACATTGTGGAACACACACGCGCTGTCCACCGAGCGCAAGAAGTGTTTCGCAGACGAATCTGAAATGGGAGAAAATTTGCATACGTTTTAGTGTGACCGGCTAAAATTTTGGAATAATACCTGAAGCTAATATAATTATGTAAATTAGCACTAATATAGCCGTAGATCTACGAGACCTTAATTTAATTGCACCTCAATATAAAATTACTACAACATAAAAGGATAAGCAACAGTTTTACTACACGTCAAAATCCACTTCATACATTTTATCAGTCATAGAAAATATTTATGACCCTGTCTACAAGTTCAAGTGCAAATAATATCTGTGAAGGAGCAGACGATCGTAAAACAAGTGAAGCAAACAGATAAAGTAATCTATTTGTTAAAAGGTGGTGCTGATAACAATGGCTTCCAAAAACACAATAAATATAATATCATGCGTCAACAAACTGTTCTAGCAAATAAATGAGTTTGCCTTGAAGTAATCAGTGTCATTATTATAATAACTACTTCCCTATTTGCTGATAATGTGACTAGTAACACATATGGTATAGTCATCACATTGCTTGAGGTAAATCTGGGACAAGGTAATAAGTTAAATGTCACTCACCATTTTCTGTTACAATCACATCTGTATGTGAGCTTCCGAATTTGTGTATATGATCAATAGCATCATCCATATCCTTGACAACCTCAATGCAGCACTCCAGAGCTCCATATTCAAACTTCATGCTCCTTGCAGGTGGTGGACCAAATGTCAACTGACTGGCAAGTTTAGGGCCAGCATGTATCTTAACACCTTCCTTCTTCAACATATTGCAAATATCATTGAACAGGTCATTAGATAGATGATCTTCGTGAATCAACAAAGTTTCCATAGCATTGCAGGCAGCTGGGTAATCACACTTAGCATCACGAACGATCTTCAGTGCTTTGGCTGGGTCAGCATCTTTGTCTAAGTACACATGGCAAATGCCCTCAGCGTGACCAAGCACAGGAATATGCTGTGACTGCTTCTGAATATTTCTTACTAAGTCTGATGAGCCTCTAGGAATAATTAAGTCTATATGCTTTTCCATGGAAAGCAGATCGCTAATTTCTTCCCTAGTGGACACAAGAGAGATGGCGTCATCAGCACCAACACCTTTCAGAGATTCTTTTACTAATCCCATGAGAGCTTTATTAGAATGAGCGGCTTCCTTTCCACCCTTCAAAAGAAGACCATTAGCTGATGCCATGGCCAAAGCAGCTACCTGAGGCAATGAATCAGGTCGAGATTCAAATATGACTAGAAGAACTCCAATGGGTACTGTAACTTGCTGTAGGACTAAATTCTCAGCTAGTTTTGTTTTTCTTAACACTTTGCCCACATTTTCGTAACTCGAATCAGCGATCTGTTTGAGACCCACTGACAAAGTTTTCAATTTGCTAGGGCTTAAAGACAATCTGCTTAGTAATGGTTTAGCTAGTCCGCTCTTTGTACCTTCTTCCAAATCTTTTGCGTTAGCTTCTAAAATTTCTTCTTGTTTGCTTACTAGTAAATCTGCTAATGAGTGAATGGCTGATGCTCTTTCTGAAGGAGATAATCTTTGAAGAACTCTGCTTCCAGACCTCGCTGAAAACAAAATAAAATCATTAACATCTTTATTGAAATAGCTGTAATATATTGCAACAGTACTGTCCTGAAGGTAAAATTATTTACCATTTTCGGCCAAAACATCAACAGATGATGCTGCAGCTGATGTTGTGACACTGTCCGTGAAGAATGTTCCAACTTTTCTTCCATTAATGATAGTCTTGATAGCTTTTTCTTGCATGCCGTTACAAATAACAACACTGACGCCCCGGGCCATAGCCCAAGTTGCAGCATTTACTTTGGAATCCATACCTCCGGTACCAACCTGAACAAAAATTATCATTATAATATTTTTTCTTTCGTAAATAAGATATTTTTTCTGAAGTGATAGTGTGATAAGGTAAAAATAGTAAAGTACTTTTCTCCATAGAACTATTATTATTTATTCAATAAAAAGTCGTTTGTCTGAAGATTATTCTCTTATAGTTTTTGCGTAGGTTGTAAGAATTACCGCCTACACAGCTACGTCAAGTTCAATTCTTTCTTTTATTGAAAAAAACATCGATAACGTTATGCATAGCGTTAGGATAAGCCTTTCCAAGAAAACGTATTGTTTTGATAACAATTTCTATACAGCTAGTCAGTTCACGTTTTTCTACATTTTATTTAAGCATTTCTATCGACATTATCATCTGTTGGTGTCTAGACACCTACGTCAGTGGTTTATTTATTCTTAAAAACGGTTCTTAGAATCTTACCTTTGACTTTTGTCCAAATTGCACTTGATCTCTCTCCTTTGATGTGTAAGTGTGCATCATTCTGGCACCATCTTCCCAAGGAGGTTTGTTGTAGATGCCATCGACATCTGACATCATGATGAGCAGGTCTGATTGGATCTCAGCAGCCAATAGCGCAGAAAGACTGTCATTGTCCTTTATGCCTATACCCTGGATATTAAAAGGTTTACGATGTAGTAAAAATATTGCATGTTCAGCAGAATTCTTCGATCATAAAACGGTTAAGGTCCAGTGGGTCGTGGTCGGAGGAAAAGATTTCGTAATTAAAATGTTATCGAAGGGCTAATGCGCAGATCAGGCTGTAAAAGTTAGTTTCTTGGAAATATAGTTAACGATACGAACAATCCTGTTGAATGAAACACAGTTAAGTACACTTTTCAATGCTTTCGCGTTATCATATTTTACAGGGCAGAAAGCCCGCCAGGCACGATCACCTCGCCTCCTTTTCTGATCTTAGGGAACTATACACTCTGTTGCCAGATAAGTGCGTGGCGGGATGAGCTCCGGCGCGATCTCATGGCGGAATGGCGGCAACGGCTGTCGCAACCGAGGGCTGGGCTCGCTGCCATCGCAGCGGTAAGTCCCCTCTTTGAGGAGTGGCTTGAGAGACGCTACGGCGTCCTCACCTACCGCCTGACGCAGGTCCTCACCGGACATGGCAGTTTCGGGAGGTACCTGTGTCTGATGGGGCGGGAGGAAACGCCCGGGTGTCATCACTGCGAGGACCGCCCTGAGGACACGGTGGAACACACGGTGGGAGAATGCCCTGCGTGGGCTGAGCACCGCCGTGTCCTCAGGGAAGTGATCGGCGATGGCGACCTCTCGCGTCCGGGCCTAGTGCAGGCCATGATGCGGAGCGAGGGGGATTGGGATGCCGTCTCCTCCTTTTGCGAAGCAGTCATGCTAGCTAAGGAGGAGGCGGGACGCGTGAGGCAGCGAAGCGCTGCCTCCTCGCAACCCAGCCATCGCGAAGGACACACCGGGCGTCGGGGATCGCGGGACGATCTCCGGCCACCGTAAGCGCGGGCCTGCGGACGGCGAGCATGGGTGGCTCCCCGTCCGACCAGAAACAGACCCGAGCGTGCGGCGCGTCGCGTTCCGCGCGCGCCTCAAAGAGCCATCAGACCACCACAGATGGGGCCCAATAGGGCCGATGCCGATTCGGAGTCGCGGAGAACCTAACGGGTAACCGGGGCTCCGGCTCGACGTGCAGGAGAAGGAACGGGGTGGTTTTTAGTCAGTAAGAGTCTGACACTCCCTCCCGCCTCACCCAGGCGGGGGCAGTCATTCGATGATTTTCCCCCCTTAAAAAAAAAAAAAATCATATTTTACAAAAATACTGACATATTTTTAAAAAGAATAAAAATCTTCTAGGAAATAACAATAATTTTCTCACTGATAAAAATACCAAAATATATTTTATCTTCTAATGAACATAATTTGTCACTACCCAACCAAAGAGGAATATCAACACTACAGCTTTTGATAGAAAGTTCAAAATTGCTCACCTTCTTCCCAGTTCCTGGTACGACGGTGTCATCGTGGATGTACATGGGTGGGCTCACAGCATCGTTAGTGTTAACAATGGGTACTATGTTCAATGATATCAATTCTGATAATGTACAAAATAAGTTCTTTCTCGTCTCCTCGTTATAGAAATCTGGTTTTGTTACAAGGACCTGTGAAAATGAAGAAAATATCGTTGTTATTATTATGTTACTGCTATTATTTATATTTTTCCTTACAAATTAGGTACTTCGGGTATGAGGAGCAGGAAATGTCGGTAACATGATTTAGACTGAAATGTTCTGGTGTAAGTAATGATTATTGAGTTAAGGCGGACTTAAATTATTCCCATTTTTATGTTTTCCATATTAGTAAAACCGAACTGATGCAGGTTTTAGTGCCGCGGTAACCGTCGGCGCTGACAGCCAAAATGTATGAATTTCTAGGAAACGTTTTTGAATGACGCCTAGTTCGGCGGTTCCTAGAAGATCATTGTACCTCGGCTGTCAGCTCCGACGGTCAGCGTTATACTAAAACCAACCTTTTTGCCATTCACTAAGCACATTGTCAGACTTTTAATATATAATCCATAATTCCAATCACCAAATAATATCAACGTTACTAGAAGAAATATACAGTACATTTTTAAAAGTAAGAACAATGGATTTTCCTTCGTACCATTTCGAGGACGTGGATCGTTCCGGCTTTTCTGAGAACAGAAAACCGCTCAAGGCAATTCCAGCGAAAGACACATTGAATCCTTTTAAAATGACGACATCCAGTTTCGCGCGAGGATAATGCGATAGTTTTTATTTTAATTTCTTTTCCTTTCTCTTACGAGAAACTTATATGTTGAGGTATACATACGAATCTGTTTCGTCCCCTGTTCATTTTAAAGGGTTTTAAAAGAGTTTTATAATAGTGAAACAAGTGAATTTATTTCTGCAAATAGGCTACAAGGCAGCAATTTTACACGTCAATTTTATCAAGCGAACGATGAGGTCGACATTTCCTAACTGACTACTCTGAAAAAAAATGCCGAAACAAACTCAGAGGTCCATCTCTTTTAAAGTCCAGACAAATGTGTATAAAAGATTATGTGTGAGAACCGTGCAAGTTCTTTCTATAGTGGCCTTTTGGGGAAATAACCACAACAGTTTGAGCGTAATAGCTTATGTATACAAAATGTACATTTTATATTGTTTGGGCAACTGATTTTGTCTAAGAATGATCGAAATTACAAATCATATTCTATGTAACTTGGCAATAGTCACGCTATCCTAAAATCCTGTCTGATTATTCGTAAATTATGTAGATACAAATACATAGCTTAAAGTACTTCCCTAATACAGAAACATAATACATTAATTTTAAAGTTTTAAATACATTCAGGTACTAGAAACTCCATTTACATTATACATTATACATTTTCTGTGAAATTCTCAAATGTGAGGGATTATTAATTAAATTGTTTTTAGCCGCTGTTAGAGCTGCAGTTTCGAAACTAATCCTGCACCACTTTTTGTGGGCCGCGGCAAATGCGGCCGGTTCCTGATTTGTTCGCCGGAGCACGTCTGAACTGAACACTTTTTGTTCTATCTGTTGGTGAAATTTTAGATGGATTTCGTTGGTGAATTAAGGTTTTGTTTTAAATGTTTGATTACATGATAATATTTTAGACTAGTCTCTTATTACATAGGACTGAAAAGTCATATTCCTTAATCAAAATTAATTATTTCGACTGTTTAATAAAATAAAATATTAAAAAATAATCACACTTTCATTGGTTGATTTTATGACTAACTTCATTTTAATATTTTTCCAGCAAATTTTTAAGAAATAAGTATGCTGTCCATCTCGTACAAAATTCATAGAAAACTGTCGTTTTTGAAAAATGTATTGAATTTGACTAGTTGGCAACTCAGCACCAACAATTTAAATACGCTTTTTAGTATCATTATTTAATTTTGAGTATTCAACTTGTATAACATATATTTTGAGTATTAAATTTTAGTGACTGATAAGTGTAACTCAGAATAATTGACATAATTGCGTCGACTTTTCTATTACATTAAACTAGAGTTTTAGATTTAGTATTAAGTAGATACCAAATAACAAAAACTTAATTCAGATTTACCATTTTGTACCATAACTGGCTGTGACTCATTGTACATCTCCTCTTCAATCTATTGTTCACGAAAGTACGATAACAATTTGTATTTTGATTAAATACAAAAATTACCTACATTTACGTCCTACCTAACCTATCACATTTCTAAATGCCACGTCAAACTCCAGTCAGTTCAGTAATTCATGCAAGTTGAAGTGTGGTCTATAATTAAACTTTGATATAGGTATGCTAGGTACAGCTCATAGTGAACTTTACGAGTATGTCAAAACTTCTGATACATCTGCTCGCCTGGTATGAATTATTTACAAGGGAGCCATTTTAGTTCTTGTTATATAGATATTTTGTAAACCTACATTTTTGGACCCTTTGTCTCTGTAGTTTAAAGCTTGGATAAATATTTCAATTTATGTTTAAATATGTTTTGTATGATTTTGTCTAATTACCCAGGGGATTTTATTATTATTTTTGGGTGACTGTACACTAACTGACAGATAAACAAATTCGAAATGGTATCAAAAAAAAAATATATATATATATGAAAGCATAGACCGTACATTATAGCTAGGCTGATTTTCCAAACAATTCTATCTTTAAAAATTACAAAAACCGAATAAAATAAAAAAAAACATTTACCCAGTAATTAATGCAGCATTTGCGTGTAAAGAATTGATAAATAAATAATTTTTTACTCGTCCATATACCGAACAACAGCCTGGACGCGTGTTCATAAAGTATGCAATTTTTTTGTACGAAACACAAAACGCTTTTTGCATAATTTTACATTAATCTGATGTAACTCATCGAGCTATACATGTCCAGTTTAGACTGGTTTTATTTTGTATGATTTTTCCGCATATTCGAAGATCACTTTATACTGGTCTTGCATAGTTTGATTGTAGCCTTTGTGTACGCTCTCTAGTTCTTTGATACAGCTGTCATAATTATGACTGGCAACGATAAAAAAACAAAAGGACTCATTTCATACTCGTTACTCTTTTTAAAAAAAGAATAAAAATGTATTCTGTCTGAGAGAAAATAAAATAAAATTGCCGCCGGTTTGCCTGTTAGGGGCAGTATTTCAAATAGCTTTTGTTTTTAATTTTTTTACTAAATAAATAATGAATTTTAGTTTGCCGGAGTGATTCAATCAAATTTCAGAGTCATAATCACTTTTCAAATATTATTTACTGTTATTTGAAGAAGTATGATCTTCTCATATTCTTATTTCATTATCAAATTATGTCATTCAGTTGACGAATTTACACGGTAATCTAATGTAAATTAAACGAATAATCAATTCGACTACAAATCTGTCATATTGAATAAAGAAAACTTTTTGCTATTAGTACCTAAATCTTAATGCATTTTAGAGTAAAATGGAATTATGATAATTCAATAGACTTGACGTGACATGACGTGAAATTTTAAATATGTAGCTAATGTCGGAATACTAAAACGCTACTCAATTTTAATTCGTTCTTAAGTATAGTTCTGTCTCCACAAATTCTTTGTAAAATGACAGAGATGGCACGATATTTAAGCACGACTTAAAATTGAGTAACGTTTCAGTATTCCGGCATAAGTATTTTAAAAACTTGAGCTCATGTTATATAGATCTATCACGTTTATCTGATGAATACTTAATGAATTTACGAACCATATTGAGACTACAGCACAATATTAAACGAACGTTATAGAGATACATGGCACCTGGTTTGGTGACGTAAGAAAGGTGCCCGGGAATGATAATTAACATACGTACACACGGCTACATATCGAGCTTTACACAACCAGTATAAACTGAACGTTAAATGTGCGGAAAGATGATGCGACGCGACACCAGGATAAACTGGTTTCGTATAGATTGATGTGTGGTCGTGTGTACAATGACTCGTTCAATATACCTAACACCTTAAGTGACCAGCACATCATCCTACCCCAATGAGCCAATTTTTGTCATAGGATTTTCGACTTAAAACTTTAACGATGAAAATCTATTTGACAGTTAAAGGTACATGACCTGCTATACATAAAGCGTTATTACAATGCTATTATTTACTTTCATCTTGCCTAGACATTTACATTAAATTATTCGAAGAAAGTGTTTATAGAAACAATCATATTTAGTTACATTATTATAACAATAACGTCAGTCTTTGACTGTCAGCTGACATCAAAAGAATACATCAGTAAACTAATTTAATATAGAAAATCTCTTTTTATTAAAATAAAAACAATTTTCTTTTGTTTTGATATACTTTAGTCAAACTAAAAGCTACATTAAAAGAAATTACTTGCTAAATCCACAATTAGAAACTTGTTAATACAGATCTTTGAAATAAAAGAAGATATTTGTAAATTGAATTTAGAATTGCATTTTGTTTCTAAATAACAGTCAAGTTACCGTCTGAGCTTCAGAGCAATTAAAAACGTTGGATACTTTTTTTTTAATTTAAAAATTTTACGTCTTTATCATGCCAGTATCTCTCTTGAGTTGATATTTTTCTTCCTTACCAGCACTATTATTGTACTGCTCTATTCTCTATGGAGTTTCTTGCTCTTTTTTCTCTATAGGAATCTACGCTTTGGACGAGCAAATAGCTTTACTAGAAGACTGACATACAGACTGACATTTTTTTCTTATTTTTTAATATTTAAATATTTTGTTTTTGACGTCCAAAGCGCCTTCCTGGTCTAATTTAAATAAATGATTTTGACTTTGACTTTGACTGACATAAATAAAAATTGTAAGCATGAGCAATTTCCCTGCATTTTTCTCAGTTCACACTTGGAAAACGTGGGAATTATACAATTCAAACCACTTTCATCGATGCAGAACTTTGTGTACCAATAGAATTCGTTTGACAGATGATGATGATGATGCTTACCTGGGCAATCTTCACGTTGTACTGCGAGAACATGGCGTCATACATGGACATCAGCTCCGATTGACCAACCGCTGCAGCCGCACGAGGGTCCAGAATACTGCCAGCATCCTGAATGAGGAAACACAGTTAATAGGTGACAGAAGTTATATATTCCGATTCTGAGTACTTTGCTGGTGGAGAAGTCGCATGTACCATTTCTAAGTAAGGGATCTTCAAATCAAAGGGTTAATTACTGGCCCTTTTTTAAACGATTAATTTTTTTTTTAATTCTCAGTAGCAGTAGTAGGCTAGTGCTGTCGATACGGAGCCGCGGAAGGCCTAACGGGTTGCCGGGGCCCGGCTCACGTTGCAGGAGTAGGAAAGAGGTGGTTTTTAGTCAGTAACAGTCTGACGCTCCCTCTCGCCTCACGCGGGCGGGATAAGTTATTGAATGATATTCCCCCTTCAGACTAGTGCTGCCCTCTACCACATGGGCCTCAGGTATCAGCATGTGGACGTCTCTTTTTTTAATGTTATTTTTTGTTTTTATTGTTTTTTTTTTGTTTTTCAATGTTATTTTATGTGTTTATATTTTATTGGTGGTCCATGCCTGGTGGTGAATAAATTATTTTTCTTCCTTTCTCTCTTTGTCTTTCTTTCTTTTCCTCAAAGCCCAAAGGAATTAAAGACGAGCTGATATTATGCCAGAATAAACACATGTTTGGAAACGCAAATACGCTGTATAAATACCGGTTTGAAAGATACATTTTACAACTAAGTTTGGAACCAGGGCCCAAATTAAACTTAATTAAAAAAGTTATGGAAGCATATGTGTACAACGAAATAAGTGAAAATTTGTAAAATAAACACCGCGTTACTGGGCTAGTAGTGTAATGCCCGAACACTGAAAGGTTACTCAAATTTAACTGTTCAATTCCCAAGCGGTCACCGGTGACCTCTCTCCACTAACTCCATTATAGACCTTATTTCCGATGTTTAGAGACTACTTTTGTATGAACAAATTTTGGGGATTTTCGGGACGATGTGTCAACGTATTTTGTACGTGTTACTTAAATATCGTGCCATCTCTGACATTTTACAAAAAAATTATAATGTTAGTAATATACTGCCTACTGACTGCCTCGTTGGCCGAGTGATCGCAAGTGCGACTGCCAAGGCACGGCAAGGGGTCTCGGGTTCGATTCCCGGGTCGGGCAAAGTATTATTAGGTTTTCTAAAAACAAAAAGTCTCAGAGGTAGCACGGAGGCTGGAATTGCGCCCATATGGCAATAGGCTCATCCCTATTACATGGGATTCATAACATAAATAGCGAAAAGTGGGTGTTACATTGTATAGTGGCATCAAGTGCCGTAATGTGCACCTCTGTCTACCCCGAAATTTACCAAACATGTATTCATTATAACCTTCAATTAAGTAGTATTAAAATGTTAACAAACGCATGTTTAATAATCAATACTCATTGAACTACAATATTGATATCGATATTTAAACTTAAATATAATTTTACGTCACAGGTCACTGACCTCTCGCGTATGATCACTCGGTGACAACGTCTCTCTCATAGAAAGAGACATGAGTAGTTCTTGTGTCAACTTCTGTCGACCAAACGCCACAGCTCCACTGGTCACCATGATGCATTCTCGACCTTCGTGGTGGCATTCTGCTACCTGCAAAAATGATACTTATATTAACCACATTTAAGATAAAATTTAAATTTACATAATTAGTGGCATTAGAGATTATTTTTATTAAATAAATGGCAAGTATACTTTTACTTCAATTTTAACAGTTAAAAAAAATAATCTATAAAATGTTATTTTATCAGATTTAAATCTCGAATACAGAACTGGCCAGCTTTATTAGACAAAGTATAATTATAAATACAAACTTCGAATTTCAAAACATAAAAAGTTTTATAAAAAGAAAATAAAGTATTCATATTAGGAGGTTGATTTTTAAGTTATGAGGTTATGATTTTACGCCATTTTTATTACTCAAATAAAACATTTACTGCTATAAAATTAGTCTGCGTTTATAGAATCAAAATGTACGTGAAAAGGAGCAAACATTTTACATTGTTCGAGAGTAGGTAGGGGTGATGGCCGTTTAATATCCACATTCCACAACAAATATAATTCAGCTTTAATTTAATCGCCTAATTCGTGATTGTTAATGAACAAATTATTTGATATGATAAACCAGCCTGTAATAATTTGCTTAGTGTAGGTATCAAATTGAATTGTATTTCATTAGTGTAAATTATACGCCTTTTTAAACCTATTCTAAAAGAAAAAGAAATAAAGTAGGCAACGGTATTCGAAAATAAACTTTTACATTTAACGAGATCGAGACTAGACCGCGTTCCGCGTTCTGATTGGCCGGGTCCAATGAACCAACCAATCAGAGCGTAATGCGGTCTCGTTTCAATTTGGTTAAGCAAAAGACAAATTCATACTAAACCTATGGGTTTATTATACCTAGACCAGAGTATGAAAATTACAATAGTTTCCATCTTATCTTATTCTAGGTATTATATAAGGCGGAAGAGTTTGTTTTTTTGTTTGAACGCGCTAATCTCCATAACTACAAGTCTGATTTGAATAATTATTTTTGTGTTGGATAGCGCATATATCGAGGATGCCTATAGGCTATAATCACTCTACGACCAATAGGAGCTCATCAGAGTGTGAAACCGCGAGGAAGTAGCTAGTACTTAATAAGAGTCATTTTATACCTACAATGTTCATGAACTAAACAAGTAAATCTACATACCTGTTCAACAATAGAAGCAAGTCTTCCTAAAGCCAGTCCATTGCCATCCTCCCTGGTGATAACAGCACTGCCAAGTTTGACAACCAACCTCCTTGCATACTTCAGCTGAGATCTGTCTGTGAAGGTCCGTTGTTTGCGCTCCGCACTCGCCAAGTTTCGCTTGTCTACGTTTAGACCCTGTAAAAAAGAAAAGGTTGGGTATGGGCTTATGTCATAAGTATAACAGCTTCATATCGGTGGCTTTACCCTTTCTAAGATTTCTGAACGATAGTTCACTATACCAAGAGATCCGTTAGGTTGTCCGCACTTAATCTAATCACAGTGATCTAATCTGGGATTAGAATAATTCTGTTCTATTCTTATAGTACGAAGTAATTATCACATCAGAACCCGTGTCAGTCCGTGCTGGGATAATGGCTCTCTTCTATATACTAGGGATTGCCATAATTACCACGCTTTGCAGGCAGGTTAGAGACATCAGACAACCGTATTCTTTGCTACCACGAAAATACGAGATGGTTAGAATAAAATATACCAACCAAGATATATAATTTACCAACTTTACTACAAAACTCCAAGCCATGATATCTTCCAAAAACTTTAGCTATAATATTTACGGCCGCAATATTTATTTATTTTTCCCTAGGTAGACATATTTTTTAAGATTGAACACCTAGAACTTTTTAAAGCTTTTCTGCAATATAAAAAATATTTAGCTAATTTTATCAAGCGATATTTTTTCCTTACTTTTATTATGAAAACTTAAAATGAATCAAGGGACTCATTGAATTATAATTTTCTTTGCTGTAATGTATTTATACCCTTTTTATTTATAGATGAGCAACATCAATCACAAAGTACAAAATATTATATTAGTTTAAACTTAAAACAATTTACTCGAAATTTTAACATACGAACCATGATGACGAAAAAGATTGAAATTTGAAATTGGAATGAAAATGTAACACTAATCAATAACAAAGACTACTTTTGGAAAAAAGTTCCATGGTTTTAAAATAAACTTAATTTGAAATTAGAATTCTTAGCCAAACAAAAAATATTTTGATTTGAAATGGCCAGTACTGCAATTTCATAGATAATATAAATACCTATAATACTAAACTCGCACCTATGTTAGATAAACCAATTGGTTTTTTTTATGGGATAAGCCGGTAAACGAGCAGACGAATCACCTGATGGTAAGCAATCGTCGTTGTATATGAACACCTGATACACTAGAGGGGTTACAAGTGCGTTCCTGGCCTTTTGGAAATTGAGAATTTGAGGATTGTGAGGGATTGGGGGTTTGAGGAGACTGGGTAGGAGGGGGGGTAATTGGGCCTCCACAATTGACAAGAAATATTTCAATAAGTTTTCAAAAATAATGTAAAACGATTATATTTGTTTATATTTATAGCTCAGTAATTAAAACTTCGTAGGAGACGACCGAGAGTCTGAGGACCGGTAACTGACTAGAAATTGTTTAGCAGTGGGACATAAATAGCAATAATTAAACTTTGCATGTAGGTTCTAGTCGTTTGCTTGTGCGATTTGAAACCTCTTTTGGCACGTGTTTATAGATAAAGATGAAACATAGAACAGTTTTGTATTTTACAACTAAATATCTTTTTTTATTTTTAAGAAGATTATTAATGCATAGTCTGTTCAATTATCTCAAGCATAACTCTTTGTGTGATCTGCAAAGTTCTGTGTATGGGTGTGATGTGCGGAATTTTGTGTTTATTAACGCAGCTAAAACAAAGTCTACTTCGTCACATCGCCACATCGTCACATCGTTGACATACACGTTACATCGCCGCGACCGCACATGCTGCTCATGAGGAAGAGCCCCTCTGTAACTCGAAACTAGTAGAGCTTTTCTCAATTTTTTCCCGTGAGTAACCCGCAATTTTAGTTAGTTAATTTAGTAGATATGCCTCACGATTTTATTATAAAAACACACCCGTAAGTAATGTAATAACCACAAAATTACACCTACTTCATCACAGCTCATAAAAATGATCTATGATGTAATTAGAAGCAAAAAATTAAACTTTTAAATCACAATAAAGGTTACTTCCTTATTCTTACTAAGTAATATTTACCGTTCGCTTGTACTTAGCAATAAAATATGAAGTTTTAAACTCAGCGCATCGCTATCATATAAAAGTTTTGATAACAGGAAATTACCTTCCTGCTTCTAAGAGGGATGTTTTATTTTTAATTAAAGTATTTATAAGTAGTGTAATAATGTACAATTGAAGTAAATAAAGGTTTACATAATTTTGCATAACATCACGCTTTTTATCCCCGAAGGGGTAGGCTGAGGTGAACATTACGGCACTTAATGGCACTGTACAATGTAACACCAACTTTTTACTATTTATATTATGAGTAATAGGGTTGAGCCTATTGCCATATACCGGGTACAATTCCAGATTCCAGATTTTTAAGAACCCAGTAATAGGTACTTTGCCCGACCCGGGAATCGAATCCGAGACCCCTTGCCGGCAGTCGCACTTGTGGCCGAGTGGTCCCGGGTCGGGCAAAGTACTACTTGGTTTAAAAAAAATCTCAATAGTACCACGGAGCCCGGAATAATGACCGGTATATGGCAATAGGCTCCCCCCTATTACATGGAACGCATAACGTAAATAGTGAAAACTGGACGTTACATCGTACAGTGGCAAGTGCCGGGATGTGCACCTCTGCCTACCCCTTCCGGGAATAAAGGCGTGATGTTATGTTATGTAACATGCCCCTATAAAGTTACAATTTACAATGATCTTGTTCATAACTTACAGATACTTTTCAACTGTTTGAAACAGTAAACATAATTCGGAGAAACATGTGAAACCTTCGCGGCAAACCTGCAGATAGCAGAACTAACGATATTCATATTTGTAGACAATTTGGGTCGGCAGCCCGTTTGTTTTTATTCTATAAGTTTACTGATGGATGTTGAGTTTACACTTGTAAGAGAGAATTCTAACTTAGGAACATTGTACTGAGATATATCACTTGTGTTGTGTTAGTATTTCGTGGTTCTTTCAACATACACACATAACATCACACATTTTATCCCCAAAGGAGTAAATATAGGTGCACATTACAGCTCTTAATACCACTGTATAGTGTAACACCCACTTTTCACTATTAATGTTATGAGTCCCATGTAATAGGGGGTGAGTCTATTGGCATATACCGGGCACAATTCCAGACTCCGTGTTACTAATGAGATTTTTTTAAACCTAGTTTTCTTTACCCGACCCGAGAATCGAGCCAAAGACCCCTTGCCCGGCAGTCGAACTTGTGACCACTCGGCCAATAAGGCACCCCTCGGGGAATCTTTTCTTAAAATTCTGACATAAGACTTATGAAAGTAGATATAAGTACATCTAGGGACCTTCGTGAGTTAAACGACGTGCGTTGTACTTTGGTTGTTATACTTACTAATATTATAAATCGGAAAGTGAGTTTGTTTGTTTGTTCCACTTTCACGCCGTAACTACTAAACCGATTGCTTAAAATTTTTGCAGATGTGAATCTAGAAGTGTGGATTAAATAATAGGGTACTTTTTATCCCGGAAAAAAATGATATTCTCGAGGGAAAACGAAATTTATTAGAAAAGATGGCGCTGTGAGTATTGGTATATGTCACATAAGCTCCTTTTTATCCTTTTGTGACACGAGCGAAGCCGCGGGTAAAAGCTAGTATATTATATAAGAGTCCCTTGTAATAGGGAGCTTATTGCCATGCCTTCAAACTCAAAGTCAAAGCATTTATTTCAATTAAACCATATTTTGGTACTTTTGAAACGTCAACAAATACAAAATAAATAATAGTCTGTCAGTCAGTCAGTCTGTGAAACTAGCTAGGTGAAGCTAGGTGCTTATTCCAAAATGTAGATTCGAATGGAGAAGAACGAGCAAGAAACTCCATTCGTTACTCTTTTAAAAACGTATGATAGGTACACTCGCCTCGTACAAGTATCCTCTATAGGCGATATTGTTCTCGACAAATCAAACATTACGATAATCTACGTTATTATCCTCTAACTATTATATTATTAAAAGAAAAGATAATGACCATAACATTCCATTTAACAAACAATATTTCCTTCATTTACTTGCGGTTAATTGACACATGCATCTACTGGGACCTATTTAAATAATTTATCACGTATGTATGTGTATTTCCTAGATATGTCGATGTATGTTGCATACAAACAGTATAGTTCCGCAGTTTGCATATGGCGGCATTGCTAGTTGAAAAAGATTCGTTTCGTAAAATGACAAAATTATAACCAGGTGATTAGCGGAGGCGAGCCCCGCCTAGCGGGGCTTCTAATTCTATCTGTACGGTTTCCATTTGTTTTTCTATTCAAGAGTACAAAACCAGCCAAAATTACCCTCCCCTTCCAAAATCTCCCCAATTCAGAATCCCCAACGATCCTCAAACTCCTAATCCCCAAAAGGCCGGTAACGCACTTGTAACGCCTCTGGTGTTCCAGGTGTCCATGGGCGACGCCGATTGCTTACCATCAGGTGATCCGTCTGCTTGTTTACCGTCTTATGCCATAAATAAAAAAAGCTTCTATCTTTGACTGCACGGTTGGCGCAGTGGCTGGACAACTGGCTGCCGTACAATGTGTAACAGATCTGATTCCCGCACGGAGGAACTTTTCGTATGATCCACAAATTGTTGTTTCCAGTCTAGGTGTCACGTACATGTGAAATTATATGTGTATTGCACCCACGACACAGAAGAATATATTAGTGTGGGGCAACGGTAATAAAAATCTGCATCAGCATTTTACAAATCAGGAAACAATTTTACACACGGCGTGTTTATATGACTGCACGGTTGGTGCGGTGGCTGGGCAACCGGCTGACATGCAACATGTCGCGGGTTCAATACCCACACGGGACAACACTTTGTGTGATCCACAAACTGTTATTTCGGGTCTGGGTGTCATATGTATGTGAACTTGTATGTTTGTAAACGCACTCACGACACAGGAGAAACACATAGTGTGGGGTAGCATTTAAAAAAAAAGAAATGTACATGACTGAATTATACATTTGCCTGTGACATGTAAAGATAATGTAATGTATAGGTAGGTATAGTTGTAATTAATACGAATGGACCTTGTATCGTGACCGCAGAATACGAC